AATCTAAATAATTCGGTAGAGTGTCATTATAATGAATGATGGTGATTTCAAACTCAAAACCGGTTTTTACTTCGTGTCCACTATTTGGGTAGTGTGTTTAATATCATTAACTGCAGATGTCAGTGTAATGGCTGTGTTTTATAATGATAAACAGCACGTTACTCGTAACTCGTTAGATAATGTTGAGTGTTCAGTGTAAGGTACAATGAAAATGAACCCATTATCAATTGCTCCCACACAGCCGTACCTATAACATCAGAATTTATAAATTTGCTTTACTTTTGTTCATTGAGATTAAACGGTCAGCTGCATGGTCAGTTTTGATATTATTAGGACGTGATCAACGTGTAATTAACCTATATAACGGGGGCTTAATTACAGATGTGTACTCTGAAATATCATGTTAGAATAACCATTTTGAGTTCGAAATTCGAGATTTGATCTTGATATCTCAATATACTAATATAAGTTGCCGTGCATAATCATTGACGTTGATGAGTATGATTCTATCTGATTTACTCTTGAAATTCGACTGATAAACGTGAAATCAGGTTTATCACTATCTAATGATGAACGATTACCGTGTTCAATTTTGCAATTCATTTCTGTCGCAACTATACTCAATTAATCATATCTTCACTTCTGCTAATACTAGAAAATTCTCTAAAACAGAACTTACGATTAAATGGTTTGGAGACATTTTGTAGTGCAACAACCTGTCTAAAACATGTCGGTCATGGTTCAGCTACCAACTGTCACTGGGTTGACTCCTTGTTGGCATGATAAGATACAGAATTAATATCAGTACGATAAGCTTACTGCTTATCATTTCTTAAAATGGGCTTTTCGAATTTGGAATAAAGGGATTAGGATTTTTATCTTGTACCCGAGACGATAAAACTTTTAATATCAAGATGATTTCCGGCATGAAATCATTATTTTACCATTTGTTTGGAGTTGGTCATAAAATAGTCTAATGTAAGTCTTATAACACGACCTTTCCTTGCTTGATAGAACTAGAAGATAACAAAGGTTCGCTTGGTGCTTGCTGATAAACGAACCATTTAAGATCAGAACATTTGCTATATCGTCGTATTTTTCATAAATATCCGGAATTCATCAGCGCTATGTGGCTCACAAAACTGAAAGCTCATTTTAACATAATTTTACACCATCCGTGGCTATGAAGTATGAAGTAGAAACCATAAGATTCGGATAAAAATAGCACCAAACTTGCTTTTAAGGTCAAATCCATTATCTGTGGTGGAAATGATAATGGTGGAAATGATAATGTCGATTAATTGGTCTTCTTCTGACCAATTTGCCATATTTAATCAGAATGTTTATATCCTTCTTTCTTGTTTTCTTGCTGCCTTATGTTCGTCTGATTTCGCACTCTCGTTCATTTATCTTCGATTAATTGATTTCTTATAGAAGCTCACCCCAAACCGTGCGATCGCTTTTATTTTCATTTACCTTACTCGGGATTATTACGACGGGTTTATTAACGACCGGTTAAAATATGGTTCGGAAAAAATATGGCGAAATTGCTCAAAACCCACCACATTTTCCCGGTCGCCATTTTACCGGTGTCCAACTTTTCAATTTTAGATTCAAAAATTTTGTCTCAGATGTAAATTTCCTTATTAGAGATAAGCAGGTTCAGAAATTTTCGCATTGCTAAAACTTGTGAAACAAGTCGAATTATCAATAATTGTTGAAAGTAGACTCTAGCAAATTCGTTGTTTTGAATTAGCATTACATGTTTACGTGTATCAAATAACCATTATGACTCAATTTGTAGAAAATCTTCGAAAGAATGCATCGTTCACATTGTTTAGAATTATGAATAAATGACTGATGAAACTGATTCATGTTATTGACCGTTTTAATTAATTCGAGTTTTAATTTAACTGTTACTTTTACTTTGGGTCCTATTTCATTATGTAGAGATAGTCAATACCTAAGAAATTAAAAATTGGCCTATTTAAATCAACTTTGACAATAAGGATAAATGACAAGAATTGGGCAAAAAGGTGAATTTTTTGCAATTTTAGCCAAATGAAGTCGAAAAACCTACAACAAGTGTCCCAATAGTCTTCTTTAGTGAATATAAGACAACCATTAAAATATGAGCACCCATACCCCTTGGGAACCCTAAAAGGTGAGTCGGCGGGTTTATTAACGACCGGTGAAAATGTGGTTCGGGAAAAATATGGCGAAATTACCCTAAACCCGCCACTTTATCCCGGTCATAATAATCCCGAGTAAGGTAACTGATGTTTCAGTCTGTAATCGAATCACTAAAAGACGTTATTTCCATTGCTTACGGCGCCTGCTACGTAACGTAACAAGAAAGTATCAATCTAGTAATGTAACATCTTATAAGCTCCAAAAATTGACGCATTTATAAAGTTTGACATAATCCTTGGAGCCGCGGCTTGCAATATACATATCAAGCTACCACATATTTGAGAAGATGACTGCACTTCGCATCGACCTTCGAGTTTTAGACCCTGGAGCCATGATTTTAGATCAATTGAAGCCTGTTGAGCCTTTAAACGGAATTCTGTAACCTGTGACTTTTGTCACACGATGACTAGCTTGTCAGGCAGTGGAGGATTCTTGTCCACCTTCATGATTTAGATGTGTCCTGTGAAATGTCACAATGGCAGAGCGTATTCGCCGTTACGATGACAAGCAAAGTTTAGTTATCCGGTACTTTGCCTGGATCCGACTTGGAATTGGTCCAATAACCATTCCGAACCCGGGGTCACGTTACTAGAACTATCCAATCCCAGGGCAGTATTCAAGCACCATGGCCCAATTTCACCAATGATAAAGCAGGGCAATGTGCCCTGGGAAGCGTGAGTGTTCTGCACGTTAAGACTGCCTTGTGAGGTACCGAATAATACCGAAGTACAGAATCTCTCACAGGACCTCACGTGACGCAGGTATACTGCACGTGACTTGCGAGGCGCGCTCTCATTGGCGCACCGACTGTCACGTGGTTTAGCGAGGGATCGCAGATTGGCTGCTTGGCATGCAAGGAGCAAGTTTCGGTTAGCACAGCTAGCATGTTTATGTGGTGAAGTCACGTGACACATCATGTGTTTATCTATGTGATGTTCTCAACTGGAGAGGTGTTGGTATCATTTCACGGATCATACGCTTCGTGATCGTTGCTAAATCGCAACTCTTGCTTGAGTTTCGAGATCAAGTCATCATCATGGTCACGGTTATACAAGCTGTTACGCCTTGAATATGTCATGATTTTTTTAAATTGTGTGCCGTTATTTCAACTTTATTTGATAAAATCCGGCAAATATTTTCTGTGTTAAAGTTAAACCCACCATGCACCAAGCCAGTATGGCTGACTGCAAGTGCAGGGCCTTTCTGTTCCACCAGGGCGAGGGACTTGAGCTCCTAATAAATTTGGGCGACGTTGATTAAAGCTGCTTCGTAGACAGTAGTTTCAAAGCAAACCAGCTCGAGCTTGAGAATTGGGTGTGTCTGAAACTCGGTTGAGTAGCTCTACTGAGTTGATGTAATGTTGTGACATAAGACCTTTACTGTTCCACCCCGCTTCATACTTGGCTGTGCTCGCTCAGCCCGCAATTGTGGTTCTTAGTTATTCCAGTTGGTTGTCTCACGTCGTGTCTTTGATCTCGCTCCAGTTCCCTGCCACACTGTCCTTGTTCCTAATTGCTGTGTCAGGAAATTGGGAATATTGGGACTTGTAAATCTGGAATAGTTATAGCCGAGGCTGCAGTGTATCGCTTCAATTATTTTGACCAGTCGTTCACCGCGTCTGTCGACTTTTTAAAGATATGATTACTGTCGTGCGAAACCATTATTATCATGATATTATTCCGCTTATTTGTTGCTGTAATATTCATCGTTTTTGATTATCTGAAATCGTGTTGCCCGTTTGTAATCAGCTGCTTGCGTACTGATTTAATCGTTTATCATTCCAAAACGAACATTTCTTGTAACGAACATTACTAACTGTAATTTTACCGCAAATACGCGAGTCGATTTAACAGAAGCTAACCCAAATTAACTTTCCAAGGATTCAAATGGAAACACTTCAGCCCCTCCAATTGCCCTCTTTCCAGTACACTAAACTCATCAAGTACAAAGATACTCTAGGATGTACCACAGATGCGGAATTTATCGGACTCCTTACCCAAACATTCCTCTGCACTCTGGCTCAACCACTCTCCATTTCTAGCAAAGAGGTTTGTAATCGAATACTTCTTTCGCTTTCTGTTCCAATTTTTCCTGTTTGATTTATACGTTCAATATAATTCCGGTTTTGACTCACGTGGAATTAGAAAATTAAGTTAGAAAAGTTGTTGTCACGTGAAAATTCTAAGTCAAAATAATTCGTACAAGTCTGACTGCAGTCTGGGCATTACAAGACGTGATAATTTATTTTCTTATGAATTACGTATGTTTTCATGATTATTCACGAGCGGCAAAAAAATTATTAACAGCATATGTTTGTCTTGATTGACTCACAGCTTCAGGCGGGATTACTGGCACATGGCATGTCAGAAAATGTTCTAATTTATTTTTAAAACCGTTGAAATCGAATGTTTTCAGACGACAACTTTTCGGAAACTAAGTTAAATTAAAAGTAAAAAGCTTTGTTTGACTCGTAAATATTATCTGTCTTGGTAATATTGGTAAAATTATTGATATATATAATATATGTGATTGCGACGTTTAAAGGGCATGTTTTTATTCTTTTTGAAAATACGTTTTGAGTCATGAGTCTCGAGTTCAAATGAGTCAACAGTTCAGTTTCCGGCCTGCCGTCGGTGGTTCAAATTCTACTCTAATAATCCTGATTTATAAATTACGACCATGATTGTGTTATCATATCAATAATCTTGGCACTGCGCTAAAATCAGTACTTGGTAATTTTGTAATCAGCTCAGCTATCGGCTATCTTATCAGCATTATCTTGAACTTCTCACTATTTCTACTAATCTGCGTCCAATGCCGAATATCTCGATGCCACCGTTTATAATATCACAGGGAGGTTGTAGGCAATACATCTTCGTGGGGGTCCATTTGTTGGGTTTTGTCGGTACACCTCCATCCAGGTTATAAGATAGGTCCCTCTCGTTGGTTCTTTTCCGACACGTTACCTATGTGCTGCACTCTGATTGGTTAAAACCCTCGTACTTGAGAAAGTCTCATTAATCCCAAGATCCGATTCTACCTCCTGGGCGGATGGGTATGTGATAGAAGTCTCTACTCAAATCACGCCACCTAGCCCTTGCTAAAACGGCGTAAATGAAAGGCTTATTGTAATAAATTCTGTCGAATTTGTCGAATATAATTTATAACTAAACCAGCTCGACATGATCGATTAATTCAGATCTTGCTACTTGCTAGTACTCGGTAATCTGAATACAAAGTAAAAGTTACGTCCAGTGCTGTTTCAAAGAGTACATCAATTATCAGACTCGATATTTAGCACGACATGTAAGTGACCGCAGTGCAAGTCTGGGACTAACCAATCCCCTCCCTGAGTCCCAGATCATTGTTCCAATCTAATCAGATACCTCCAGAACCCCATATTTCCTCTCAAACCTTTGAAGATTACTCGTATGAACTGCTTGTTTGAAGTACCGACGCGTCAATACACTCAAAGAGCCTGGGTTCGTGGAAAGTTGACGTTGAGTTGCCGAGCTGAGCTTTTGCTCCCACACCCATGACACGCCGGAGTGGCCCACAACTTGAGGGATCTCCAGCTTGCTAACCAATCCCTGCCCTTCCCTGGCTCGCTCCACCACTCACAGGGCTGACAAGAAGTCACGTGGACGTGAAAACAGCTGAAGGGAGTGGGAGTGAACCGTTTAGATTTATGGGGACCAAGGTAAATAGGGGTTTTGTCTCTTCACATTGTAAACACGTCACGGACCCTACATTTAGTTCCAGTTCCTTAGTGTGCAGGGTTCGTCAAGCACGATAAGCATCCGCACCAACGATTTAAATGACATGTATGGCTGCACTCTCCTTGATTGGAATCCGATTATCTGAACCGTTATTCAATGAGATCCGGCCTCAAACTCTCAAACCACGAGAAGTACCTGGAGTTTGGGACATGTACATGATTGGCTTATTATTAGGTACCATATAATGTGCTATCTGAATTAACAAGCAATTTAGAAATTGTTAACCGATCTTTCTAAATTCTTTAAGTTCACGGGTTATGGCCGACATAACATTGTTTATCGATACTGTTCTCACGTTTAAACTCTAAAAGGGTATAGTAAAAACTTAGGCAATAAGATTAACAACAATTACAGTTCCAGCTAGCTAAGAGATACATTTTGATATTATCATAAATTAACATTCAATTATTTCAGGTAGATTTACTACTGAGCCAAGGTCAAAGCGAACCAAAGATACGAAACATCATGATGGCCCTTCTAATCCAGTTTCTTTCCAACAACAGTGTTAAAGACTTGCCACAGAACAAGCAACAGTCCATATTGAGAAGTCAATCCCCTCTGTTGGAAAACAACCAGTTTCCTCAAACCAACCTCCTCAACACCCAGACATCCCTCCTTCACTCGAGGTCTCCGCTGATCCCTAACTCCGCCCCAATCCCAGCTAACATGTTCTCTAAATCAGCTCTACACCGACCATCTCCGCTCATCAGCAGCTCGAAACCTGCTTTCCCTAACTCAGTTCCTGGTCTGAACGCTAACCAGAACGGTTTCCTCTCCACCTCCGGATCACTCCTCTCCAACACAGGATCCCTGGTCAGGAGCCACGAGTCTCTCCTCTCAACTCCTCCCTCAACCCTCACCACCTCAACTCCCTGGCTCTCAAACTCCACACCTCTCTCTAGCTCGCTCCCCTCGGAGTCAGTCCCTGCAGGAACTCCTGTCATTTCCCTGAGCAGTATCCTCAGCACACCCCCCATTAGGTCCCCAGATGGTAAGAGTATCTTCATCCCGGTTGACAGCAGTATGTTACAAGGCTGCGTCTCTCTAGCTTCTCCTTCTACTACTCCTGTAATTTCTCCTGCTTCTACTCCTAAGAAAGATAACCTCGCTAGGAAACTCTATCTGAATGAAATCTCTCCCATCGTAACTCTTTTAGACGATTCCAAGTCACGACTGGATCTGGCAGCCGTTACAAGCTCTCCTATGATGACACCACCTGAAGATTTTAACAAAAGAACAGTTGAGGCAGAAGAAATGGCGAATGATAACCTTGTACAAGGACCGACTACGAATGTCTCATTTGAAGAATTGGAGACTGCCTCCACAGAGAATGGTGTCTCAAGTCCTATTTCCTCCGCTGAACGCGATTCCCCTGTCAACTCTTTACCTGATACGAATGGCGTGGACCTCAACGAAGTCCTGAAGGTAATACTTTTTAGCTCGATTATATGTAGAGAACTTTCTTTTTTAAATTAATGAACAATTTTCTTCTTTTTTATTGTTCTGTATTGATCCTGTAGAAATTGAACAATCTTCTAATTTGCTTTATTCTAGATCAAACTCGATTTAATGCACTTGATGAAACAGATTATATTTGACCAATATTTCACACTGAGCTTTTAACGTTTTACACCACAAGAAAGTAAAAACAAAACACTCTCAGGCGCTGAGCTCAGAAGAAGGATCCACCGGTTCACAGGACGAGGTGGTCAGCAAACTCGTGACGATAATCAACGACCTGGTCGAGAACACGGACATCACCATGGGTGATATAGTGGAAATGATGAAGAGCAGTGTGAACAGCACTCAGGATCAAAACAGCTCCGGCCTGGCTACCTGCCAAAGTGAGGCGCCTCAATTGATGACGTCATCACAGAGTCAGGTGACGTCATCGATCTGTCAAGGAGTCGATCAGAAGATGCCTGGTATTCTGCTGCCAGCCAACTGGGTTCAGTTCAACCTGAATAATGTTGCTGCTCCTCATACTAATGTAAGTATTTGTGCTCGTTCAGTTTTCAAGAAAATTCTATGTTAAAATTCTGTCTGTAGCTGCATGAAAAACATATGTAAACAAGGAAAATTATAATTATAATTTTCGCAAAAATCTTTCTCCAAACATTACATTCCTTAACATGAACATTTCAGCTGAAATTCCCGACCGTGGGCCGCCCATCCTCCTCTCCTTACCACCCTTACAAACGATCCCAACAAAGCCCCCTGAACACCGGACACAGTCCAATGTCGGACGGTCTAACACCGGGTGACAAGAAAAGTAACGTCTGCAGCACCTGTAACACCAGCTTCTCCCAATTCAGTTCCCTTCTCAGACACATCCGACAGGTTAATAGCAAAAAACATCGGCCGAGCTGTTAATCTAGATTCTAGAACCGTGAATATTATTTCCGAAATTAACGATTCTTGCGCACTTTTAAACATAAACCGCATTAGTTTGGAAAAGCTGGCTGGCTATCTTTGAATAGAACCTCTGAGTGCATGCGATCTAACCTCTTCAAAGGACAGTGAGTTTTTAATAAAACCACTTCACAAAACATCAGTTCAATATGCCGATCATTTAAACCTACATTCTCACAGGTACATCAAAAGATCAAAGACAAGCCGTGCAGCATCTGTGGAGAACGCTTTGCCCGTAGCCAGGTGGGTGTTTACGACTTTAATCGTGTTAAACCGGACCTGCACGTGTTGTCCTGCCCACTATTCGTGCTGGTAGTCACCTGTCGACCCCGCCACCATGCAGTGCCCAACCGTGCTGCTGTTTATTCCCATGGTGATAGAGCGTTGACCTAAAGTGTATCAGTAACTGACGAACTTGTACCGAATCACGGGACCGAGTTCTAGGCAAGCATCGCACTCGGACCAGCCCGGTCACGTGCCACAATTCCCGCCATGTGATTGGTAGTGAGACATAATACGGGACGCTGATTGGTCAACCGAGAGTCACTGGGGAGAGTCCAGTTGCTCATGCTTGCTTGTCTGGTACTGGCCCACGAGGGGAGCTTTTTGATTAGACCATGTTTGTCACGTGCACGTTTTTTCGCTGATCTCATTGGACGTCGAAATTTCGTTTGTTGGTACATGACTTAATATTGCGTGCTGTGTATGCCGGCACGTCAATATACTCGAGAACAATGGCATTACGAGAGCTGTAGAGAAAACGCCCTCGTCAACAACCTAAGATCTGTCTGTCAAGCAAAAGTTGCGAACCACAAAACAGAAACCGAACCGCCGACTATAGATTTGAGACAAGCTGACATGCGTTCTAGCATGCGGCCATTTTGAAGTAAAAAGTTGAAAACCATATTAAATTCACGGCAGGTTGCGCACGTCTCATTATTTATTGTGCCAGATGGCACTCTAATTTTATGAGAAAATCAGTGACAATCATTTCGTCGGCTAAATACCGTGAGATGCATCAGTTTAACTTTGATGTTGATCAAGTAAAATTAACTTTCTGAGACCGTCACCGAGTGAGACGGTGAGGGAAAAAATGATTGTGAGAAATTTTTCTGATTTTAGAGGACACCAAATTGAGCTAAAGTTTTCGTGCACTGCATCGTCTTTGGTCTCTGCCGCACCTTGATTACCATCATGTACCATATCTAGCTGACATTTAAAAAATTATTATTTTGCTTTAAAAGTACCAATTTTATAAGTCATCTCGAATCTCGATGCCCACATTTAATAAGTTTAAAAAGTAGGACCAGACATTTATATTTGATATATTTTAAACATTACAGAGCCCTTCTAGTTCTAACCCCTCTTAATTTCAGTATCTTCCGAACCACATTTGGAGAACTCACTACAACCGAGCAGTAACGAACGTGAAGTGTTTCTTCTGTCCGGAGATTCTGAATACTAAGGAGGGAATCCAGCAGCACCTTTGGTTGAACCACGTGAAGGCTCGTCGATGAAGAGTTACTCTGGTAACTGACTGGAAACTGACTGGTCCAGTTTGACGAAATCATGCAGTAAATTTGACGATTAATCGGGTGACAGACTTTGTGAACTGCACACAAATACACTGATACGAGGCAGAGCCTCAGAACCCTAAAATGGAGTATAGAACAGAGTTGCTGAGCATTTGAAGGACGGAAACTGTAAACGAAGACAATTGTTTGGAAGGTTATAGAATTGCTGCTCTTCTTTATTTCTTTTGTCAGATTCATAGTTTTGTACCAATAGTAGCGATATTGTGTGATTTTATATTAATTTATACGTATATGGTGTTGTTTATAATAACTTGTTTGATAATCACAGGATAGTCAGACATGTATTTGTTAAACGAGTATTTCAATGCTTCTTTAAATTACGAATGAAATAATTACCAGCTGAGACATGTAAATCATATCATTGTAAAAGCACCACCACAGTATTATATAGAGAAACAAGTACGGGATGTTCGATAATATAGTGTTCAAACCTCCTAACCCACAAGTGAATTCCCGTGGGTATTTTTGCGCGAAAGAAGGTCCTTGAAAATCCATACATAATTGTGGTAAAATTTCGAATTCTTCACCCAAAACTAGGACTATTTTACATGGCAGTGTTTATCTAACCAATATACTTGTTCGTGGGAGTACTCATACAGTACTTGAGAGTGATACCATCTGATGTTGTTGTTGTAGGATAAATGCAACTACATTACTGCAGTTGCCCTGTCTGGACTGCGCTAGTAGTCGGGGACTAACTAGGTAAGAGTCACAGCATACAGGTCCCGGTATCCATTGCAGGAAAGTGATCATGTCAAGGGTTGGTTGCACCAGCGCTTGTGTGAGACGGGGAGCAGAGCTCACTCCGAAACAGGGACTGACATAGTTGTTATCCTCCACAAGACACTAAACCTCACATTCTTTAATGGAAATGCAGGAATTTATATCGCGTAGGGGTTTCGTTAGCCCTAGGCATCCTCCATCACCATACCACACAGAATTGCGAGCCCAGAGCACACTATTTAAACCCGAGGGTACGCGTGCGATTGTGATCTGATGTTGCGGTCACATTTAAAGCCAAACCTCACAGACTTCAGCATGCAAATAAATCTCCCGACCAGACAAAGATGTGGTTCTTGCAGGATGGAGCGAGATCTCGCTTTGTTTGAATACCAAACCATGTTTCAAAACTCATCAAAGTCATGAACCGACAAAGGGCTGAATTTCTTGGGCTGAATTTTTAGACAAAACTGAAGTTAAATAGCCATTTTAATAGAATTTAAGATTTTCTGTGCATAGTCAACTTTTGCACACCTGATATTATTATGAAATGCTCTGTTGTATTGATCTAGAATCATTCCAAATAAGATAGCATTTTATCTCGATGGATTTTCCATCAAGAATATTAGTTGTAACGTAATGTAGCATGGATGCCAAAACACATTTTCCCAAAAAACCTGCTACTGAAAGATGTCTTATCTGTAAAATTATTCGCAATAGTGTTTAAAAATCCTAAAGAACGCCTTCAATACAAATAAATTAACTAAAATTTCTATCACTATACAAAGTATACAGTGCTATAGAAACCAAGCTAAATTCAAACTGCAAAATTATAACATAACTAAATCAAAATAGTCAGCAGAAAATACATTAGTAATAAGCAGATCCGCTTTTCCATAAGTTAACAAAAATAAAATTGTCAGCAGAAAATAACCTTAAATCCCAATTAGTCATTTTATCCTTAGACTTGCAGAACAGTCCTATCAAGTTTAGATAATGGTGTGCTGTGAGCACCTACGAACGCTTGTACACCTCTTATTGCATTTGATAAATTGTAGAGAATTGCTATTCTGTTTCTCTTCCAGATGCTTATACCTGGGAATAAAGTGGGTTAGTTTAATGATAATGTAAAATTAATGTTGAAGAATTTTTAGTTTTGTTGGAGAGCCCGCCGAATTTAGCAGATTGATAAGGATAAATTATAAGGGAAAGTAACTAAAACTCACATATTCCAAGAAACACTAGAGAACCAGACCAAACGTATTGGAATGTAAATGGTTTAGTGAAGAAGATAAAGGAAAGAACGACTGTCAGCACTTTCCTCGTCGTAGTAACTGAAAATAAATAAACTTCAAAATGTTCACAAATAACAGTAAGTTGTTTGAAAAACAATTTAAACAATCCATGGTGCAAGTTTTGATCAAAAATTACATACTGATTCATTATCACAAAACCCTTACCGAATGTAGTTATGAGAACACCCGAAGACTTTATCAGAGCCAACACAAACTGAACACCGAGGTATCCAACTGTGGCGTAAATCATGGCTAACGGATAGATGTCGTGGTGTTGAGACGCATACTTTAAACTCGATAAAAACTGCCCCGTTGCTGTAAAATGAAGGTAGATTTAAATCCTATTGTGACTTTGAAATAGAAGCTGTTAGATATTCAAACTGCTGATGTTGCGACAGTTCATGTTTTAACTTAATATGTGAATATGATAATGTGAGATAATGGGATACGAAAGTTAAAAGACTAACCACATAGCCAGGTGAGAATAATGAGACTTCCAAAAGAATAAGTATAGAAAATGATATCTGCGTTCGTAAAGTGGGGGTACTTCTTCAGCAGCTTTTCTTGGTAATTCCCGAATACTGCATCAAAACACAGTGCCATGCAGATAATAACTATACCTGTTGACAAGTGAGTGTTACAGAATATTGTTAGTATTTCAGACGTTCATTTAGAAGTTTAGACCACGATTATTGAATACCGATTAGCTGTCAATGTGGACTATGGGCGCTTCAGTTCTATAAATTCTTAAAACGTTGTGTTGTGCGCGCAACCGATAAAGCTCTTAAACTTAGCGCGCCTTCCAAAATAGTACATTTCAGTTTAATAAAATGCCGTAACGCAGTTACGGTATTCCACGTCACCGAACTATAGTCCAGGTTGGAAATGAATAGCTCTACATAATAGAGAGTAACTCTCAAATATAGCTATTCTCATAGGACTATACATTTTTGAAGTGTTCTAAGGATACCATCCGTAACAAACAAGAATCAAACACTTAACACTAATACACCAAAAACAATTCCCAATTGCACGACATGCCAACTTACAGCTGAACTCAGGTAAAAAAAGGGCGAGAAATTTAACAAAATATGTGAACTAACATGACCCTGATATGTATTGATATGAAAGTTTGAAGCCATTGTAATTGGTGTGCTAGTAGTTTCAAATTATGCCAGATAAGGTGAACTGTTACAAATATCTGAGGTCTTCATTTAAATGCAGTATTTATAAACAGTACGATAAGTGCTAACTGTTAAGATTATCATGTTGTCTCAGCAAGTTACACACAATAAATATCTGAATGTTATATCCCTTGTCACTATTTAAATACGGAGTATTATTAGTTGCAACTTGATCATATAATTGTACTGTTTATCGTCAGAGTTTGTGGATGCATTCCTTGGCTGACAATCTAATAAGCATAGATAAACCCTAACAAATGAATGGATTCCAAACTACAAACATCTCTCTGTTGTCACCCTCGATTCCTTATTAAGCTTTATCAGTATTTGACTTGTGTTGCGCACGAAGAGTTCGTGTTAATATTTTATGAAATCTTTACATGTGCTAGCCGCTAGGTTACACGCTATAAGTGTCCTGACGATTATTATTCACGGCCGAAATAAGTCCAATAATGAGTTCATTATTACTGACCTCATCATCCTATGATGTGTCATGACAAAAAATAAAAGGGGGGACCCAACCTATGTAGCTGAGACCATTGGCGTAACGTTGCCTGTTGGCGCCCATCCCCCCCCCCCCCCGCCGAAAAAGCGCCCCCATGTTGGCGCCCCCTCCCCCCCCCCGCCGAAAAAGCGCCCCCCTGTTGGCGCCCCCTCCCCTTTTGGTGCCCCTATCTAAAATTGAACAAATAAGGTGATTTTAGAGGATACGCCGGTAAAATCTCTAGAAAAGTGTGTACCTAGAGCAAAACGCGCAGTTTTGCTAGTACTTTAGTTAAGTTTTCGAAATTGTCCCACATTCAAACGACGATTTGGCGCCCCCCCTAAGACGGCGCCCCCCCCCCCCCCCCCCCCCCCCCCCCCCCCCCCCCCCCCGCACAGCGGGGCCTTTCGTTACGCCACTGGCTGAGACACCTCACAGCAAGTAGACCAAAGTGGCTCTTGCTTGTGATGGTGCATCAACTACCCGCCGAAGCGGTGGTTTGGGTAATGTGTCATGACACTTTTAAAAAAATTAAAAGTTATAACCCAAATATGTAATAACTAACCTTTAGGTTCAAACTCTGGAGAAACAGTTTGATCAGCGAGGGAGAACCAAATAAGTCCAAAGCACATACTGAACACTGAACAGTAGTCGTATATAGTGTACTTTTTACCTGGCAAATTATCGGGGTTATTCTCCAAACAAAGATTAAGATTAGCGTCATATTCACATAACATAATGAAGGTTGATAGCGTCAAATACAATTTCGAATGATTGTTTATCCAAAGCAAAGTAGATTGCCAAAATTTTATAAGTTCACAATTTGGAGAAGTTCAAGATTTCTGCCCTCGAGCAAAACTAAGACTAATAAGTTACACCAACAACTGACACTAAATTTAATTTATAATCTCCAGAATCTAGTAAAAGATAACTCGATTTCGCCATCTTGATGATTTATTACACATTTCCATTTGCCAGACTGTTGGAAGCACTTCTTACACAAGAAATACCATACTGGGCTTATCTAAAGCTCAAGTGTATTACAAACGTCATCAGCAGGGTTGAGCTCACTATGTAACTGCATTGTGTAGTTATGATGGGCATTAGTTGACATTCGCTATGAAATTAACAAGTCAGTAATGATGGTATTCAGCCACAAAGATTGATGGTAATGATGTAGACATGAAAACGAAATATTATCTCGAAGCGATATGTACAATTTACTTATATACATATAAACATATAAACACTCTGTGTAAGCATTTTGCGTATATACAGGGTGGGCCAAAAGTCAGTACCCATACGCTGACTTAATAGCTCAGGGCACTAAGTGACCAATTGAAATAATTCTTTCTGGTACGACTTACTACCACCACTGGTTCGAGGAATTTGCCAAATCGAAAAATATTCGAGTTCATTTTTTTCAAATGAAGGTTCATTTTTGCATTTATTTGATAGTTGGATAGTCGGATCGAGCTAAATTTTATTGAATTGTGTTCGGCCATTCAAATTACGTTCTTCCTGAAAAAAATAGAGTTGTAGCTTCTCAGATGGCCGAGATACGAAGCATAACGAGTTTATTCATTACGTGTGATCAGGTGATTGGCTTATCTGATCACGTGATAAGGTCACCCCGTTAACCACCCCATTAGAAATTATGGGAACCGTTAAGGCTGCCCAATTAGGGTGTCGTGTCCCGGTGTCACATAAGCACCCAGTCTATTTTGTTAGCGAGATTCACAAAATGCTTGATAACTTCGAGTTTGGTTTCCAGAATCCAGATGCGGTATTTTTCAATTCATGTGAAACTTATGCAACTATAAGGTATGTACCATAATTTTGATCAGTTTTATAGTGGGACAAGATTGATTAATATATAATAACAGAGCTGTTTGATAAGTTCATGCTAATATAAAATTTACAAAAACGATTACCTTACGAGAAATGTATTTATATTTGACATAATTCCGGTGACCTAAATGATTTGGGAACGAAAATATGGGATTTTTTGCCGAAAAACCACCGCATTTCGTACCCCACATTATTTGGGATTTGGGGATTTTTTTCATTTCTTTAATTTACAATTTAATAAAACTTACGTAACCCAATATTTGAGAAAATCAATAATAAAATATGAAATTTGAAAAATTACAAGTCAATTTTTTCTTGATCTTCTGGTTCAGGGACGTTTCTCTCTCCCTGAGGTCTCGTAAGGTCACCAAAATTCTTAGTTTAACTAAACAGAAACCATTTAAAGAACACAGAGTAAGCTATTTATAATTACTTTTTAATAACTTTCCAAACATTATTGAAACATGTTAAGGATCCACCATTTTCTGTCGGCAAGGGAATAACAAATCTCCGTTTTGTAGTTTTGCAATGAACTTTATAGGATCCCTCACAGCAGACAACCTCAGGTTCTCTAGCCGATCAATGTCTCTGATAGCAATGGTCCTTTGGGCCAGCAGTGCAACGTATTTTTGTAAAAGTTCCTGGTATTCAACAGAATTTTTCAGAACCAAAGGGTCTGACTCAAATAAAGGTTTCTCTACTGATCCGCACAAATGATAGTGAAACAACAAATGGTTTGGTGAAACATTCTCTTTGGTAGGTAGAGAGTATGATGTAACTGTTTCTCTGCTCATGTCGAGTGTTGAAGAAGGGGACAGGGAAGTTGACCTGTCCGACTGATTTAAATGTGGGACACCTTTACCGGAAAGCGGAATCGAATTATTTAGGTTTTGGAGAACTTTACCTGAAGTCCAAACCGAATTGTTTTTCTTTGGGATAGTTTTTCCAGAAGTCGCAACTGAATTTTTCAGATTTGGGACAGTTTTAAGTGAAGTCGGAATGGAATTGTTTAGATTTGGGACAGTTTTACCTGAGATAGAAGTCGAAACTGAATTCTTCAGATTTGGGATAGTTTTACCAGAAGTCGGAACTGAATGGTTCAGATTTGGGATAGTTTTACCAGAAGTCACAACTCGGGATGTTGGCACATGTCTGGTCTCTAAGTTTTCCATGTTGTAATCTCGAGACATGACAAAAGAAGTGTCACCACCACTCGAGAGGGGTGTAGAGTTCTTTAGAGTGTTTCTTTGGACCGGAGCCACTTTACAAACAGCAGGAAGGTGATGTTGTTGGTTTAGTGATATGGATTTCTGATAAGGTGTAGCTGAATCAGCGTTATCGGGATTAGAGGGAGTTATATGGGATGCTGTTTTTGAGCGATGGAAATGTTTCTCCTGCGAATAGAATAATCAGATTCAAAATATTTTCAACACTACTATATAACAAATAATTTGAGTGACAGGATGGATTACTAAGGGGCACTGTGTTAAGGTGATTTAAGTGGGTCCCAATCCCCACCGACCATTCTTCTTTATGTCATGCCTATGTTCCTGAATAAGTTTGCTTCATCATCTCCTTTTTATAACAACCACGGTGTCTTTATTGACTAAGCGCATTACACCTTAAAAAGGTGATAGTTTCGAGAATAATAAAACTGCACAGTGAAACCGGAGAATGTCAAGATGCAAAAGCTATTGTGAATTACCTCTCGTGTATCCGTCAAAGATCTCCTAAGACATAGTTTAAAGCCACGTTTAGGGTTAGAACAGCTTTTAACAACTTCATAACTTAACGGTGTATCTTCAATTGAGTCTGCCAGCTTCCTCTTCAAGCTCATCAACGGCTGTCACAAAACCACAAAAAACTGCGCAACTAAATCCTCGAATCGAGAAGAAACAAACAAAATAAAAAGATCGCAATGTGAAATGAAACCAGGAACAAATCCTAATTAGGGTGAGGGTCTTGGTTTGCTTGATGAGGCGTCTAACTGTTAATTCACTGTCTAATTAGGACGAGTAATGACCCAATCAGACCCAATTTAATAACATGGATGCCCGTCTCATTATTTGGTAATTAGGAGAATTATTTGATTAGTTAACTGATGAAGTGATGAGGTCGTGATTACTTTTAAGACAGTGAACTCGATTACTTTGAGCTATGCCACGAACATCTCATGACTCACTACTTAAGAACTTAGTGCCAAATTATATTCTTTGCGGGAATTATTTTGAGATTGTTAAACTGACGGCTCTATGACATCAGCGTATCTTTTATAATATGGAAAACACTGAATAAAACATAAAATAACAGAAAATAACAGAAAATAACAGAAAATAACAGAACATAACAGAACATAACAGAACATAATAGAACATAACAGAACATATATGTATAATTTATATAATATTATACAATGTATTATATATAACGGCATACTATTATAAACCCTTTAAACGTACATGGTTAATTAAATTTTATTACAGAACTACAGAACTGCTAAAATTATTAGATCGACAAAAAGTATGGATTTAATAAATCACTTCAGCATTGTTTCAAAAATGAAGATGCACATTTAAGTCTTACTCATATGAAATTTTTGGATCTTGTACAGTAAGCTCGCTTTTTTCAACCTTTCTTTGCAGCAGGTTCATCTCTCTGAAGGATCTTCGCAAAACTAGACCTAACACAACTATGGAACACACGGAAACAAAAAGAAAGCATCCAACTATAATGAGCCAAATTTCACTTAGGCTGGTCGACTTCTCCTTCCACATCAATTTTCTATCCTTGATCGATATACAGGGCATTGTTGAGATTGCATCTCTTGCACATTGAATCTGTTGAATGTTGGTTAAACCAACTCCTTTAACTACAAATCCCTTGTTGCACTTGATAGTGATTGTTGCCTCAGAGAGGAAAAATGGGAGCCCCTTCTCATTGATTACCTCTCCGTTCTCAACTTGGAATTGAGAAGTTGAACAAGTAAAAGCGTCGTGCTGACTTGGATCTTGAAAGCCTATAGATGAGAGTGACTGTGTATTCCCAATAGACAGAATGGTATTCTGCTGTGCTGCTAACTCAATACTGTACGTGGTTTTGTCTTCAAAACCCACAATCAGCTGTTCAGAGAGGATCATTCTTTGGGATTTAACTTTTAGACATTTCTTTAAATTCACAAACATATCAAAATGCTCATCAATCTCATTTTCAGCTTCAGCTTCAAGACACAACTCTGAGAATCTTCTGCTCGGTGAGATTTGGTAGAGGGATTGATTCCCTTTCAACCCAATCTTCTTGAAAACCCATGATTCAGCAACATGGCAAGGTCTCCATGTTAGTGAATATGTCTCGGCCTCTTTCCCCGTATCTTTGTCTCCATGATAACTCAGACAAGAAGCATATTGTTGTATCATGATTCCCTCGATAGATTCACTTAAAGAGACCACCTTCTCCATCGTCATTGTTGGTCCGGTAGTGGCTGTCGTGATATAGACACATTGTTTTGGTACGTGTATTATCATGGTGCAAATATCACTCAGATCTTCCATTTTCATATCCTGGTGGGAGTCCTCGTAAAGTGTACATTCACCATTCATAATGTTGAAGGTTAGAACCACACATTTACTCATGAACTTGCAATAAATCCAGCAGTCGTATAATCCTCTACTGGTTTTAAAAGTTCCGATCTTGCCAATGTCGGAGCCAAAAGTTGTTTTGACGTGTTTTAGGCACTCCTGAGGAATTTGGGCCACGAGATAATGGTGGGTGGACGTAGAAACAAGGTTGTTATGGGATGAGGCAGTTGGGAATTCGGTGTGCACAGGGGACTCTGTCTCCCCCGTCACTGAGCAAACAAACAGTATCATCTGTAAAATCATCACAAACGCTGCGATATAAGTAAATAAATATTTGAGCTACGAGTAAGAAAGGAGAAAGGGATAATAGAGAATAGTGATGGTGTTTAATACCACCCCATACGGCGATCCAAGTAAATAAATATTTGATTACGAGAGGTCAGAGGGGAAGGCAACAATAGCAATGGTATCTTTAATATATTGTCCATGAGTAATTAAATGGTTTGGTAATAAACAAAAGAATACTTCTCACTCCTAAATGGGTATGATAGGGATGGTTTTGCAGTGCGACTTCTTTTTAGCTTTTTATTTAATTTCCTGCTATTCAGTAGAATGATCGAAATTATTGCGCAAGAAAAGAGAGTCTCCACTCACTGTAAAATAAAATACATCATGAATTGTCGACTTTTCGGCTACATGCGAATGCCTCAGTATAATAGTAATCTACCATGATCGTTCCATCTAAGAGAGCGAAAAACGAAACCTACTATTCAATAGAATGTTTCATATAACTACAATATTAACTCTTTTATTCAAATTTCTGATTGTTTCTGAATAGACTCAGTGAAGACAGATTCTAATGGAAATAAATAGCTGAATAACGTATCGACATTTCTACGTCATACTCATATTCTGAAATAGTATTAATTCAATTATAACGATCAATATGTACATTTAAAATTTTACGACGAAATTTATTTCAAACAAAATATATATAACTGTAAAATAGTTATCCACTGTAAAATAATTTTTAACGAAACCAGAGCAAATATGAACATAAAACTGACAGAATTTATCAAATAGGGCTCATCTGAAAATTAACGAATAGCGTGACGTGTACAGGAGATAAAAGATTAAAAGAGATAAAAGAAATTAATGGACAGCAGAGGAGTGAAATTTAAACGAAAATATTACTATTTACACGTCACTCAACTAAAAACTGTGTTAGATTGTTTAACTCTGTTTTGTCGTTGAGTGTTGGTTTCTTTTCAACTAAAAATCGGGCTTCTTTAATCTTTCTGTTGATGAGTGATGTTCCTCTATCTACGATTTGAAGTCTTAGCTTTGGGGGGCCTGTGTGCTGAGGGTGACTTTCCCTGTAGTGCTTTGCTAGTGGCTTATCTTCGTAAGATTTTGCTGTTGGATTTGCCGCACTACGGTAATGCTCGTCGAACCTGCACTTGAGTGGTCTGTATGTTTACCCACCATAGTTCTCAACGAAAAAACAGAGTTGAACAATCTAACACAGTTATTAGTTGAGTGACGTGTAAATAGTAATATTTTCGTTTAAATTTCACTCCTCTGCTGTCCGTTAATTTCTTTTATCTCTTTTAATCTTTCATCTCCTGTACACGTCACGCTATTCGTTAATTTTCAGATGAGCCCTATTTGATAAATTCTGTCAGTTTTATGTTCATATTTGCTCTGATTTCGTTAAAAACTATTTTACAGTGGATAACTATTTTACAGTTATATATTTTGTTTGAAATAAATTTCGTCGTAAAATTTTTAATGTACATATTGATCGTTATAATTGAATTAATACTATTTCAGAATATGAGTATGACGTAGAAATGTCGATACGTTATTCACTTATTTATTTCCATTAGAATCTGTCTTCACTGAGTCTATTCAGAAACAATCAGAAATTTGAATAAAAGAACTATAAAATCATGAGACTCAATAACACTACACGAATCCACCAGATTACAATATTAACTATAAGTTCAATCGAAGTAAATAGATATTTGAGCTAAGTATAGAAAACCGGGTTTCTGGGGTTTAGTATATATGCTAGTCTGGCTCTAGTCATGTAGCACGAAACGGCAGGGCATACCTAATGTTATAAATTCAGAAACAAGTTTAATGACGGAGTAGAAACTATCAAATGAAACATAAATACAACATGAACTGAAAGATACAACTTCTTTGTTGCGCTAAGCTTTTGACGCGAATATACGAATATAGACAAACTACATGTCTATCAAAAGAAGAAGATTAAATTTAAGGGGCGACGAAAAAGAAGTGAGCTCGTCCCTCTCGTTCGTCAGATATTCTCTCAAAAAACTGCAACTCCATACTGCGTGACAGTACAACGCATCTGCTCGCCCCACGTGACACGCATTCTCGTAAATAAGCTCTCAACTGTAGTCACAGGGACCAATCAGAGGGCTGGCTGTAAGTCAGGTGCACAAGAGCGGACCACTCATATCATGCCATTAGAGCTGCCATCAAAACGGATACACTCAAATGTGTAACCCCCCAATAAGAACAAATAAGATCATTGGTTATTATACACCCGAAAATATATACTAAATTCTACGTCCCTTAAACGTTACGCTAAAACTAAGATATCCTAAAAGATATCTCAAAATACCATATTAAAACATAAGAGAAGAAAATATTGTTGTATCATGATTCCCTCGGCAGATTCACTCAAAGAGAGCACCTTCTCCAAATCTCCATCGTCAAAGTTGGTCCGGTAGTGGTCAATCCAAGTAAATGAATGGTTGAGCAAAGAAAATAAAATTGCTAATCCCAAAACAGGCATAATAGTTCAAGAAAAGACAATATTTTAAGAAAATTTGCAATAACAAATAAAGCTGTTTTCATTCGCACTGCTGATGTTTATTGCTAATTTAATAAACTACAACTACGAGCAATGTTCACTGAGCAATGTTCACTGATATTAAGTCCCTAAAATGGCATAATATTAATAGTTGTTACCTTTTTATAAACCCATAACTCTGGATACTAGGGAGGTAAGACATATTTCTTTCTGACACGTGATAGATAATATACACGTGATATACACGTGAGAGATAATATACACGTGATATACACGTGAGAGATAATATACACGTGATATACACGTGATAGATAATATAGACGTGATATACAAGTGAGAGATAATATACACGTGATAGATAATATAGACGTGATATATCATATACACGTGAGAGATAATATACTATTCAAACCTTTTTTGGTTGGGTCGAATACCTTTATGGCCTTTTGAACCTACCTAATATGAGTATACCGCCAATCATCACGGGTATCAGCTTGCAAGACTTGAATATAACCTGAAACACGTAATTAATTAGTTAACAATATCTCATACATTTCTATTTTAAAGCCACTGTATTTAATCGGTAAGTTTACGAAAACAATTTATGTATCATTAAACCTTTTCAAATTTTGCATCATGTATACTGTATAGTATACAATAACTGGGCAGTATCGAGATAGCCCGACCACTGTCCGCGGACAACTGTCCGCGGACAGTTGTCCGCAGACACCTGTCTACCAGATCATATTACTGTATAATAACAGTATCCCCTGAATCAAGCAACAGGTGTTTGTGAATAATTGATTGGTTACCAGATCATATGAATGGTATGTATGGTATCTCGGATATAATTAGTTACGAATAATATTGATTGCTCAATGAAATAAATGATTACGATTAAAATGTGGTATTTAAGTCGTTCGTTTTTGGTGAAGTATTATCAGTTGCCATCATCAACAACAACAACTATTCCAATTCCTGACATGGTACTCTTCTGTCTAATGGACGAAATTAATGGACCCACCGCCTCCCTAGAGAATGCTCGAGACTTCCTATTCCAGAAAAACCTCCTAAAGAGCTCCATGTCCTGTCCTGGGTGTAATGCATCTATGTCCCTGGTTCCCTGCTCGTCCTCGAAGTCAGGGTCCTCGAAGTCAGGGTCATGTCTATCTGGTAGACAGGTGTTTGTGGACAGTTGTCTGCGGACAACTGTCCGCGGACAGTGGTCGGGCTATCTCGATACTGCCAATAACTGTACTTATAGTAATAATGCGATATACCTGCGTAGGAAAGTTGAGAAAACCAAGTGAGACGGTAGACAGTCCAATAGTTCCTACTGTCATCCAAGACAAGATCATAAACTCATAATAAGGGGGCCTGAAATGGAAAAGGGTGTCAAACTCAATAAGTTGACAAAATGAGTACTGAGTAAATATAAAAGTATATAGCCTGCAAAAGAGTGCAGTAAAATAGATTGACAGCTGAAAATCTATATAAAGTATCAATAAAAACCAGGCTACCAAAGTATCTACTTGACTGGACACCTGCTCACGGCCGAAGATCACGTGGGCGGCCAAGAAAGAATTGGCGAACCTGTGTCCTGGAAGACGCAGTAAAATTTACAGGAGATTCAGACATTGTATTTGATAAGGTCCGTGAGTTGGCAGGAAATCGCAAGCACTGGAGAGAGATGATACGACATAAGCGGCAATTCCTTGGTGCAGGCCACTCGAATGATTGAGGAGACCTTATCAAGTATCAAGTAAGTAATAAAAATGATTCGTTTCGACCTACAGGTTGTGTGGCAGTGCTACTCCTAGTAAAATCAAGAATGTGTTGCTTTTGGTCTTTTGATTTCAGGGGGAATAACCAAGCAGAGTCTTTAAATTTAAAAGGGAAGATTGTTTTATCGAGAAATTATAACAACTTACAATTCCCTCCTCTTCGGAGACCGTGATATAAAAGTTGAATCCATAAAAGATAAAAAGGACACAAAGACAAACTGGATGAATGAGAGATACCAGCCATGGCTCCTGAATCCTGGTATGCGAAATAGTTTCTCCTGAAATAGAATTATAATTTATGCTATCACTGTGCACAATTTCATCAGCAAAATTGTAATTATGATTTTTTAAACATTGGACATTTTTCATAATTAGTTAACGGTTAAAATCTCAAGGCAATAATCTAAATCCAACATAGCATTAATTATGATTGAAAATACAACAGCACAGAAATCTTGTATATACCACAGAGTCTATAACAATTAAAGATGCAATTTAACCCAGCACACAGTTTGAAAATTTTGAAGACATAATAATCGAAAAATACATTCAGATGAAATCATATCAAGGACCGTGTGCTGGACTCAAGATTAAATCTTTACCTGGACATAACCATAGACGATGAAGAGTCCCAAGACACTTGAAGCTAGACTTACAAATTGAAAATGTTTGGAGAATCTGGAAAAGTCAACCCCACAAACAATGTTAACTGATTTGTGTGAGCTGGGCTGCATTGTTACAGTGATCTTTCTATTGTAACTCAGTCAAGCAAATGTACCGGAGAAACTGAGTGTAATATTCTTGGTGAGGATGACCTCATATCCTATGAAATTTGATGGAAGTTAGGTTTGGGAAGAATTGAGGGAACTAATTATAATTATGTTGGTAGAGATCGTTTTAAAAACTTATATACATAGTATTAATGAAAAGCATAATTAGTTACATTTTTACTGGTTCTTTGAACCTAGCATTTTATTCTAATCTATGAATAAGTTTGTAGAGTAACATGTAATTACGAAAGGTGAACTATTTCGGTTTAAAAGCTCAGGTAGAGTTAAATCTATACTTTCAAAGCCAGTGGCGTAATGAAGGGACAAGTTTGCATAAATTTATATCCAGACAAGAATTCAGGAGGCAAAGGTGGGTGTGTAAACTTTATGGTCTGCACTCTCCGATCCTGTATCACCCTGGATTCTTTTCGAGGGTTTTCTTGAATCGTCGTTTGAATGTGGGAACTACCGTACAAGAGCAAAACTGAGCGTTTCGTCTAGAAACACATTTTTTAGAGATTCTCCTGGCTTAGCCTCTAAAATCACCTAATTTGTCTAATCTTAGGGAGGGGTGATAAAAGGGGAGGGGATGCCAACATGGGGCGCTTTTTTTGGTGGGGGCGCCAACATGCAACGTTGTGCCACTGCAAAAGCTCAGGTAGAGTTGAATCTATACTTTCAAAGCCAGTGGCGTAATGAAGGGCCACGCTGACCCCGCTGTGGGGGGGGGGGGGCGCCAAATAATATTACTTCTTTTAACAAAGGGACTTGGAGTATAAACGACCAAGTTTGCATAAATTTCTATTCAGACAAGAATTCAGGAGGCAAAGGTGGGTGTGTAAACTTTATGGTCTGCACTCCTGATCCTGTATCACCCTGGATTCTTTTCGACGTATCTTTGTAAAAGGTATATACCTTCTAGTCTATCTCTTGCTACTCCAAGTCCCCTAGGATATCTGATCTAAAGTTCTTGCTAGTTATATATATGAAATATATTTTTGTCTGCTTTAATTGATACTAAATAAAATTGTTGATTTCTTGAAATTGTTGTTTTCTTGAATCGTCGTTTGAATGTGGGAAAATTTTGAAAAACTTTACTACCGTACTAGAGCAAAACTGAGCGTTTTGCTCTAGAAACACATTTTTAGAGATTCTCCTGGCTTAGCCTCTAAAATCACCTAATTTGTCTAATCTTAGGGAGGGGTGATAAAAGGGGAGGGGATGCCAACATGGGGCGCTTTTTTGGTGGGGGCGCCAACATGCAACGTTGTGCCACTGCAAAAAGCTGAAATTTTGTAATACAATTGTCGAAAGATTGATGTGCACAACTTTGACAGTGGTAGCACATACAAGGCCATTGGAGGGTAACTCTCAATGGAGACAGCACTGATGTCAATGCCATCAGATATTGATGAATAATACTATTGTATAAGTCTACTAATACGAAAAAAATTGTAACTATTTGGAATGATCAAAACCACCATGTTAGAGCATCAAATGTAGCACAGAATTCAAAAGATACACTCATGTCAGAATATTAAAACTTCCTGGTTTCACTTACAACTTACACTCGTCTTACTTTGATTTAAAACTTAACACGAATATTACATTTACAGTACAGTTATTATGATAAAATGAATCGAAAATGTAGAGCCACATTGCATTAGTAATAAAAGTATGGATCAGTGACACTTGATTACAAGGAACAAATCCCTAACCAACTACATGTAATTAGTCAGCCTAGGCCCAAGGCTCACCAACGTCACCAACTATAAACAGAACCCCTAATGTCTGCCAACAATCTTCTTCTGGTCCTAATATGAGCCTTGTCTCTAAAAACTCATCTGAACTAGCATGTCGGTGTGTGTGCAAAAGCTTTCAGGCACGCACATTCCCCGTTAGTTACCCGTCCTTTTTAAGATTAAATTAGAAGGGTTTAAGAAAGATATGATTTCTAAGGATATTTCTAATGATTCACATTTTTGGAATGTTTCAAACGAAGTATTAGGGAGAATTGAAGGACCTAGCTATGTTAGTAATAAAGAGAAGCATAATGATTATCTTTATTTTCACCCTTTTGTGGCAAAAAAGCGATTTGTAAATCTTTATTCCACTGGGAAGTATGAATAGGGTTATTTTTTGGGGATGCTTTTTGAATTTATTTGAAATTTTTTTTAATAAAGTTGTAGTTAATAATTTATTAATTTTGGTGGTAAGATATTTATATTTGTCTATATAGTGATTTGATACTTTGTAGACATGTGTGATGATGTTATGTCATAATTTTTACTTTACTTTACTTTACTTTACTTTTAAAATTAAACTAGCAGTCAAGGACAAAAAGTCGTACACCAAATAGGCAGTATATGTTTATGAATTGTTTTACATCTTTATATTCTGTAAATGTGTTAAAATTAATATGATAAATGTTTTGTTTCATAGATATGATGTATGAGTTCCATGCAAGTGAAACAATTTTGTTTGCATAAAGTTATTATAAGATATAAGATATTTACCTGGGGACCTCAGGCTATTATGTTCATATTACGCCGAATTAGAGATTCGCGTTCGGCGAAATGACAGGCTGAGCGCGGCCCAGTAAATAAAATATAAAATATATGACATTCTGTCATGAACTTAGCGATTGCTTTTATGCAATGTATACCTTTTAACATCACTTTTTGATGGTATTGTTAAACATGTAGTTAACGGCCGGGTGATACTCGTAAAACATTTGTTCCATATATTAGGTGTTAGGACCGTCGACGAGTCCAACTCGGCGCGCGTCCTGGTAGGTTATAAACCTACAAACATGTACAATGTAGCTATATATTTTTGTCGAGTGCGCGGCTCCCCTGTATCGTAGAAAAAACTCCACTATAGTGAAACAGTTGTAGCGCGATGCGTTACTGTGCCGCGCCGCGCACTCAATGAGGCTTCTCACAGCGACATCTCGCTAGATCGGCGAGATGCGCTATACTTAATACTACTGTGCCTTGCCGCGCGCCGAGCTGCGGTGAATTGACATCGTCAATTAAGTGGAACGGCAATGGGGATACAAATATTTTCTATATAAAATTACCTAATATAAAAATAATCCTTTAAAAACTCAATATTTTGAAAATCACCAATGGCCTTGCAGCTCCAAGTTCAAATCTGAACTGTTTATATTATATATAATATATTGACAAAGTTACGTTCTTTCTCGTCCCTCTGTCTCCCGTATAGCTATAAGTACGTATATCATTTTATATTAATAAAACAAAGATAATTTAGTAAAGCAAAGATAGTTTAGTTTTACTAAAACAAGAATATATTTACACAAGTTTGTTTGTATCACGTCTTGACCATTGTTAATGGTTTTGCCCGGCGCGATTGTTAATAGTAAAAACAAAGTGACATCTAACATTTTAATAATGTTATCTTAATAATGCATGTTCAGCTAAGCCAGTGTATTCGTTTGATTTTTTTAAAACTTACACCAACCTTCCCAAAATAAAGTTATTGAGAAGTTATCATTTTTGATTAAATTATGTTTAAATTATGGAAAATAAGCTTGATTCATCAAAATCAATGCCAAGTTTCAGGCGAGATGATGGGGAGTTAACAAAATTAACTTTTACATGTAGTGATACATAACTTACTGGTCTAGTTATACATTACTTTGTAAAGGTACGTTTGACCACTGCATGCAGCTTTTGGTAATACGTGACTTTCTACTTTCCACAAAAGTTACCAATCCCAGCCAGTTCTCAGCTCATTAGGTGTTGAAGAGAAACGAACCTGTCCTTATTTAGCGCGAACACCCCGAGTACTGGGGGAAATACGACGATTATAACCGGACTGATAAGGTTATCATAATGCAGGCAGCAGGGCTGATATTATGATCTCACCGATTCTATGAGATCATGGGACCCTGCCATTTGTCTTAGTATAATAATATGTTCTGGAACGCATATTCAATTTATTTTGTTGAATTTTTACCAAGGTGGATAATGAAGTCATGGTATTGGTGATAAACTCACAAATTCTCGCGTTAATGTTGTATTCTTATCATCATTATTTGTTTTTGTGCTTCTTATTGAATATTCTAACAGTTACATTTTCTAAATACGGATTGAACGGATTAAACAGATTAAACGATTCAAAAGTCAAATTACATGGTAATGTCTGACCCAATATAAAAAGTAAATTTACCCAATAGTAAATATGTAAATTCCCTCGTGTAAAATAATAACTTTAAGTGAAGTGTTAAGATTACCGACGTCTCCAGCTTTACTTTTGACATTTGACTTGTAGTTGTACTGGTTATCAGGTGACTGTGAAAGCACCACCAGTTTCCTTCACTTTCACTCAAAGTGGAGGAAACGGTGGTGTTTTAGTGCTGTGATGTTTTCAGCATTGCCTGTACTATGGTCCCTGTGTCTGTTTAACTTTATTGATACATGTGCGGAATTTTGTCGGGGTGGCTTCTGCTCAATTTTGATATTGTAGGATTTCTTTGATTTTTCAAATAATATTCTCGCATGTTCGTAACCTTGCGGTTACTTTATATGTATCTGAATTATAACCTGAAGTTGTAATAATGGGTTATTAATTAGTCAATTAATCAATTATTTAAATAATCAATTAAGTAATTAATCAATTAAGCAACTAAATAATAAATTGCAATACTCGTGATAAACACATCAGAATCACAGGAGGAATTTCTGTCATCGCTACATTACCTACTTATCGGACTTTCAGTTTATTTGAACGGATATTAATTGGACGCTGGAGGCCCTACGGCCTAAGCCCTTGCGTTATTTTAATGTCCGTTCGAATAAAGTCCGTTCACAAAATGTCCGGTCAAATAACGTCCAATAACAAGGTAAGTAAACAATACAGTTAAGTAGAAGCAGTATTTGTGTCACGAGGTCACCACATTTCACATAATTTGTTTACATGCTCGTGAATTATGTAGTATGCCGTCATCAAATTCTCGAAACCACCAGAAATATCTAAAAGTAAACTAATCCGTGTTTATATTACACACCTATAATTATCCGATTTTCAAATCGAATTTAGTAATTAAAAGTCACGTATACTTGACTTTTAATTACTAAACTCGATTTGAAAATCGGATATTCATTATACAGGGCGGCGTGGTTTCGTAACTACTCAAGCTTGGCTCGAGTGCTTGGCTCGAGTGCTTGGCTCGAGTGCTTGGCTCGAGTGCTTGGCTCGAGTGCTTGGCTCGAGTGCTTGGCTCGAGTGCTTGGCTCGAGTGCTTGGCTCGAGTGCTTGGCTCGAGTGCTTGGCTCGAGTGCTTGGCTCGAGTGCTTGGCTCGAGTGCTTGGCTCAAGTGCTTGGCTATTGGTGGAATATTTTTGAGAGACCGCTTATAATCCTTCTGGTAGCGGTGTATTACATATTCCTTTGTGATTAATTCGTTGCTGTTCTTTCATATGTTGACATGACATTATTAAACACTTTTAAAACTTTACAGAGTACAGCAATTGTAACGTATAAATTATAATCGAATAAATTATTGCCCCCGTGATCTGTCATTATTTGACGTCATCAACATCCCTTGTTACTTTGTTACAACAGCTGATAACAGAACTGTTATCAGCTGTTGTTTAACCAAATGTAAAACGACTTTGTGCGTGAGAAATACTCCTGCATGAACATAACAGACTTTACGTAATTATTTCACCGGAAACCTAAGACCATTATTTCTTGCACAGGTTACTGTTAGTTAAAGGATCACAACGACAGAGATTTCATTTGCATTAACTACCAATTGTTGCAGCCACATACGGAGATCACCGTGTTACTATGAAATGAGTGAAATCCCTCGATATGCGCTTCCTATTAGTATTTGACAAGTTAGAAACTGCCTGTAGTGCGTGCTCTGTTCGCTTATTTCAAGTTTTGCTTTGCTTTAGATTGTATTAAATACAGTACTTCACGGTATTTGGTGCTTGTAATCATTCTATAAAATCAATAGTTGTATAATATATCGAATAAAATTGCAATGCACCTAAAGTAAACGCCTATAATAGTCTATTGTAACATTATTATTGAAATATCTAAACTTGGCAATCCGTGCTTTTATTTTAGATTGTGTGTGTTTCTGACGCAGCCTCCACCCGAAGGGTCAAGGGTGCCAGTGGTGAGTGGACACATTACAAATCTCAGTATTCCAAATTTGCTTGTTTCTCTTATTTTTTTTTCAGCGTGGGAGTATGATCATGATTGATTATAATTATTTAATTACTGTATACGGTAGTGCCTTGCATCCTTTTCCAATAAGATTGAATCTTGGAATTCAGGCGCCTATTTATCTTAACACCTTTCAGACCCATCAAATTGAATAATTAAACTGAAATTGTAAGATTGGCTCTTAAATTTGGATTGGCAAAATATTTTTAAGTGGGTCAAGTCAGCGACTGTAAATAAGCCACTTCTCTTTTCATATTTCTGTGTGTTGTATGTTATTTAAGTCAACGCATATAAACAAAAGCTACCTTAAAAACAACAAATTTAGTCTACCAAGAATCATTTATATAATCAGTTGTGATGTTTTTTCTGTCCATTGTCTTCACTTTGCAAGACACCTTGGCTTTTATATTTTACCGCACCCCATTTCATGTCTTGATCTCTACCTTTCTAGGATCTGTTTCTTTCTTGATTGATTATGTCACTGTACTTACCTTTATTATACTTACATGTATTGTATGGTTTCTGCTTCTATTAAGTTTAGTGTGGTTTACAATAAAAGATGTTTTGATTTTGTCTTTGCCCTACTTATGATGAGTTATACTTTGATCATTTTTACACATTTGCTCACATCACTCACAGCCAGCCGCTCTGACATGGTTAACCACCTTCCTTGAGTTGTTGGTTAATCATATGAGCGGGATATAAATACCTCATTTCATTTCCATAAATTTAGTATGTAAAATCCGGATTGGATTATTGTAATAATATTTATATCGGTGAGACGTGCAGAAGGGCACATGATAGGCTCGGAGAGCACCTAAGATATGCTAAATGTCCTCTTACTCCTTCCAATATTAGTCAAGCTTTAGCGATTCATTACAATACTTTGCATAGGGGGTCAGAACCCAATTTAGAATTTGAGATGTTGAAAACGGAAAGCAACACAGCTAGAAGAAAGATTGCAGAGGCAATGCTTATTTTGAAGCTCAAACCTAGCATTAACAAGAGGGATGAGTTAGAAACCATTAAAAGATTTTTAGTTACAAGTACATAGTAACTGGGTGTAACATAATTTATACTTTGCAGACAGGGGATCGTCTACACATGTATTCAGTGATATTTATAAATAGGTTTGTTTACTTTTACAGTACAAGGGCCGACTCTCATGCACGCACACTTGTCACTTCCGCCTTGCATTTAACACACTACCTCTACTCCTCGATCAAACTACATATTTGGCTCCCACGTTTCACACTTCTCATTGGTCAATGCCATTCCCGCTATTTCGCTTCACATTAGATACATACCTACACACTTCACATCATCTACCTTGTTCACCGTACGTTATTTGCTATAAAAGTTTGTCGTCGTATGAGCTAATTTTTGTTATGACTTTTTGTATCGCATTTTTGGATAAATTTGATTGAATTAAAAGTAAATAATTATACACTAATTTTGCCTCAGATTTATGTTTTTACGTTTTGAATTTTTGATTGATAATTTTTGATCATGAATACGATGTTGTCACATTGAAACGTTGAATAATTCCTTTCCTGATAAGAGCCTTTTCCTTGTCGCATCAAACGGGATCAATTTAGAAATTTACCCAAGAAACATAAATTTAGTAGCAAGTTGAATTAAGCAAGATGCATTAAGCAAGATGCATAATGTATCGACTATTTTTGCGAACTGAGCCTCAAAATAGCAAGCTTCCAGAAGTCTCGATTTACAGTTATTCGAATATCAGCCTAGTATAGGACTATATCTGCAGCATCACATAAGTTCTTTATTTTTTTCAATATTCCAATTATTTGTTAATTACTTTCCAACATGTTTAATGACGAAGACTACCTCAGAATTCAGATAAGAAAGTGAAATGCCCCAAGAGTTCAACTTCGTTAACGATGTGGATGGAGCGACGCACGTATGCACATCACAACCTCGATCGTGCATTTCATCTCTCATCCCACTATTTAATATCCTGCTGACTATAATTATGACTGTGGCAGTGATAGTAATTTTTGTGAGGATGGACCAGCGCGGTAGTCAACAAGCAGAGATTGAGACACGAATAGTAGAATTAAGGGATGAGATTAAGATAATGAGGAAGCAGATAAAATATTTTGAGGCAATACACAGCCGCAGCCTTTCTGGTGCTCAAACTGAAAACGTGACAGGTGAGTTAGAATTTTGAAATTGTCCAAAATCCAAATTTAATAAAACGAGAAGATTGAGAGTTGACAAATTTACCAAATCTCTTCTCAAGCATCAAACTTACAACTTAGAAATAGTCATTATTTTAATGACAAGTTATCTCAATTCTACTAATATTATTTTATTTTGGATTTAGATTATTTCGATGTAATGGGTCCAAGTTACTGCGGACATAGTTCACTATGTGTATACCGTGTTTGGGTGCCCATCATATTTTACAGATGGGGGCGATATTTTGAACGATTCTATTTTATATTCATCTATTGCTGTACTCTGTAAAATTTGAAAAGTAATTAATAAAAAATACTAGTCTAACTTTCTAAATTTCTTTATCCCTAACAGAAAAGATAAAAGAGGTGACTGCGTCTAACTGTTCAACTTTACAACCTCAAAGCAATTTTACAATTGGGGACTGTCCCAAAGTGCCAGTCAACCATACAAGCAATCAAAGCTCAGAAAATTCTGTGACGAGAGGTAAGATTAGCAGTTTTTCAAAAATGTGAGTTTATTGTTATCATTCAAGGAATGTAATAAAAGACCGGATTCCTCAATCAAGTTCAATTATTGCGGTCATGTAACCTCATAAAAATGTGCATGGCAATTCATGGGAACTTTTGAGTGAGAAAATATTTTCAGAACCACCTACCACCATTAATCCAACCACAAGCAAGTCCTCGCACCTCTATCTGAAAACCCATCATAATATATATGTACACTCACTTAACAGTTAACAATGCTAACGTTTTTGTTTTTCAGATACTCCGCCAGATGGTGCAACAAATAATCGAACTGAGAAATTAGTGACAGGTGAGTTAGAAACTGTCCAAAATCCAAATTTAATAAAATAAGAAGATTGAGAGTTGATAAATTTACCAAATCTCTTCTCAAGCATCAAACTTACAACTTAAAAATAGTCATTATTCTAATAATAAATTATCTCAATTCTACTAATATTATTTTATTCTAGTCTAACTTTCTAAATTTCTTTATCCCTAACAGAAAAGATAAAAGAGGGAACTGCGTCTAACTATTCACCTTCACAATCTCGAGTCCAAGAGATGGCAGGTATGATTACCAGTTTTTTTATTTGAGCTTATTGTTATTATTCAACGAATGTAATAAAAGACCGGATTCCTCAATCGATGTCAAATATCGTGGTCAAGTAACCTCATTAAAATGTGTATGGCAAGTCATACTGTAGCTTTTCTGATATAAGTGCCAGCTTAAACTGATTTTGATACATGAGAATTGAGAGTGCAAACTATTTTCAGGACCAACTACGATACATATTCCAAGTCCAACTGTAAGCATATCCCCGGGAAACCCTGCACCTGACATTAAAACCCACCAGAAGAAACCGTCTGAGGTTGATACCGAACAGGAGATACTTTTTGAGGTTGTTGACTGCCAAGATATTCTAGTAAGCTCAAGTCTTTCGACATGCGGTGAAATCAAGAACAAGCACAATCTGATATACCGGGTTATAACCGGGGTACGAGTCAATAAGCAAAAGAAATTGACTCATGTTAGCTGCTGTAATGTGAGTGCTAAATTAGATGTCTATTCGAGTTAACTAAACCGAAGTTGGGAAATTATTTCTCTCACCCGCTGTCAGCTAATACAGCCAAAATGTCGTCGCTTTGGAGGCAAGAAAACTTCAAATTTCACTGCATTTAGGTCTTTACTTGTTAAAACGCCTTAGGATTGCTAGTCTGACTTTAATTTGTTTTATAATTTTAAATAATAGGGGATAGGATTAGGACTGACTTTGTAGTTCAAATTTATCTGAGTTTTTAGAGAACTGACGTATCTCTGTTTCAGGTTACCATATCTTTAAGGCAAACCCCACGGCGCAGCGTATAACAAGCGGGACTTTGTACACTACAAGTACAACTATACCGAGACTGCAGAGTATAATATACTAAGTCATTCTTTGCATGACCTAATGAGTAACCATTGACATGATTGCCCTGTGCGTGTAAGTTGACTCAGTGTAAACTTTAACTTGTTTAAATTTAATTATTTTAATTAATAGGGGATAGGACTGACTTCGTAGTTAAAATTTATTTGAGTTTTTATAGAGGACTGCGTATTTTTGTTTCATCATATTCAATATTGAATGCGAGAATATTAATAAGTGTGCGTCTAAAAGCACTCTATTTGAATTTATATTTATTGTATCAGTTTTTAAGTGATAATCGATTGTTATTGAAAAACTTTGAATAACGTGTAGCAAGAAAAACTGCACGAACTGATTTTGTATTGAAGTGAATATCCAACGTTTAAATTTAGACAATTTTTGTTTGAAATTGATTTATAGTTATACTTATACGTACAATTTCGTTTTTAATTGAAGATATTATTTTATAAACTTTTGCTGGTTATTTTAAAATTAATAATTTATTTACTTAACTTGCTAGTCTATTTCTCGCTACTAGTAGTAGTACTCTCATGTCAACTTAGTGCAGAGTCAAGTTAGTTATAGAACTATTTCATTAGTATCAAATTGGATGTGCTTTCAGTGGAGATATACTTATAGGGCGCTCCGATCATCACACATCATTGTAGTTAGTAGTAGAGGCTCTTACGGGCAAAAATACGTGTTTTCTGCTATAAGTTTGGAGACCTAACCATTAATAGTACTAGCAGGAACCCGTCTAACCCTAAAATGGTGTCAAGACTCAAGAAACTAAAACAATTATTACCTATTTAATTCGCGTTTTTGACACCACTTGGGGTACCAAATTTTGGGCTCTAAAACTCCTATTTCTTGGCCAATTTTTTATTTTTTCATGCTGATTTGGAGGCCATTAAAGCATTTGACCCAGTCAAAAAAGTTTCAGTTGTATATCTTTTACGGTTTTTGCAGAAATTCGCGTTAAAGGTGATGCCGTGGTGTCAGTAAATTGGCATGGATAAATAAATATATATATATATATATATATATCGTCTCGCTTTATATATAGTAAGATGATGTGTAAGGATCTCAATAATATGTACAGAAATATACAATATAGATACCTTATCGGACCTTATTTGGACGGACATTTATTGAACGCTTGAGGCCCTAACATTCATCTTAATGTCCGTTCAAATAAAGTCCGTTCATTTAAGGTCCGTCCAAGTTAAAGTCCGTTGAATTTTTTTCAAAAATGTTTCCACTTCGAACTTTATGTCTAAAATATGACAGCTATCCCTATCCATCCCTGACACCACTCAATCACATGTTTATTGAAAGCTTCTACAAGTTAAATCATCGTATCTCTTATATGTTTCTAACCCAACTCCACTCAGTTTTATTTTGATACGCAACACCACCCCTTTGGATCAGACAGCGAACAGTGCAGAATCCACAGAAACACCTAATCAACACACCAACCTTACAACACAAACACCTAATCAACACATCAACCCTACCACCCAACTTTCATTTAATGATTCACTCATAACACTATTTGGACAGCATGCATCCACATTCCACACTGGCCAAAACCACCTCTCACAGCATAGAACACATGGCCATTAACTCATGTCACATATCATTCCTGAAAGCCTGCCGTGATCACTCACTCATCCCTAAGGGACTCAGACTCACCAACCCACTATCCACCAAACGCTCAACTAAAGTCCTCACTCACGCATCTAACCTCCTCATCACTGAAAGACTCAACCTCTATCGCCTCAAATATGCACAGCACAAACGCACTTATGAGCACAACCTCAGACACATAGAATCACTCATAACCCCTCAATATTTTCAGAAACTAGCACACCTCAACACCAAAAAATCTTCATACACCCACGGAAAACAACTCCTTACTCACCAAAAGAAGTTCGCGGTACTACTCTCAGAATACGACACCCCCTTCCTCTCACCCTACGACACTCTTAAAACCCTCTCCCACGGCCACATTTCATGGTCCTCTCCTCAAGACCTCACCTACCCCCAAGAAAGACACCACAGCCAAAACAGTGATCAACCTCTCTGGACAGACCCTCTCCACAGCTGAAACTGACGTCCTCTCCCTTGGACTGAAATTCGTCCCGACACCCACCTCAGATCCTACCCCCGACCTGGCTCCCCTCATACAGAATATCACTAAACAACTAGGAGAAGGCATGGAAGCCTCAGCCACATATCAGGTCACCTCTGTATTATCTAAATTTGACAATAAACGTGACATGACCACCGACAATTTGACTCCACAACAACGTACCGCTCTTAAATCTTTAAAATCTAAGAAATCTGAATTGAAATTTCTTCCTGTTGATAAGGGCAACACCACTGTTGTACTGACTCACGATCAATACATAACCAAAGTTACCGACCACTTATCCTCAGGTAGTTACACCCTCTTAACGAAAGACCCCACTCAATCCGTTACCACTAAACTACAGAAAGTCCTCAAGAAACTACATACCGACAAGAAGATCACGACCAACCTATACCACAAGATGCGCAACCTACATCCTAGATGGCCTCAACTTTACGGGCAACCTAAGATACACAAACCCGGCGCACCTATCCGTCCCGTAGTCAGCTTCTACAACACCCCCCTCCAAGCCCTCCACAAAGTCCTCGCTTCGTTCCTCAAACCCCTAGCCCAGAACCCCTTACGCCTCAAAGACTCTTCCGACTTCAAACATCGCTTCGACTCCTCTCTCAATCCCTCCTTCCCCTACCACGCCTCCTTAGACGTCCAATCCTTGTACACCTCCTGTGACATGCGCCTAGCCCTCAAATCTGTCATCTCCTCCTTTAAACAGAACCCCTCTCGTCTTCTCTCCAATGTCACCACCACCACCATAGGCTCCCTTATCAACTTTTGCCTTGACAACTCATACCTTGAATTCAACGGCTCCTTCTACTCCCAAGACGAAGGTGGTACAATGGGATCCCCCTCATTGTTGAACTAGCTGAAATCCGCCTAGCTGAAATCGAGACCTTAGCTTTATCGTTATGTCCTGACCCTCCGAACACTTACTCCCATTTCGTCGACGACGGCTTTGGATCTTTCAGAGACAGAAACCACGCAGAATCCTTCCTTACATTCCTTAACTCCCTTACTGAAGACCTCAATTTTACCCAAGAACATCCCTCTACAGACGGAACTATACCCTTCCTTGACGTTCTCATCCACCCTGACAAATCCACATCAGTCTACAGAAAACCCACCCACACCAACCTCTACACCAAGTACTCCTCCTGCACCACCAACTCATCTAAGAACGCAGTCATCCTATCACTGACCAGAAGAGCCCACAACATCTGCTCACCCCAACATCTTGACGACGAACTCCAGACAGTACGACACGTTTGCCTCCAGAACGGCTTCCCTCCCCACCGCATCACCAGTCACCACCATCATGGACGAAGTACAACGGAAATTCACCAACCCCTCTCGCCACCAATCCCTAGCCTCATTCAACCGACAGACCCGTGAACATGCCCTTAGTGTTTCTCTTCCTTTCCATCCCTCCCTATCCAAACCCATCTCCAAGATACTCGGACAACACGACATCAAAGTCACCCACTCCTCTGCTACCTCCCTCCGCAACCTCCTCACCAAAACGAAGACCACACCCCCTATTCACCTCACTCCCAACACCATCTACGAAATTTCCTGCTCACAGTGCCCCTCCAAATACACCGGACAGGCCTACAGACCCTTGATTCACCGCATGAAAGAACACGAACGATGTTACAGACTCAACAACGCCATCGACGAATCCACAGACAGAATCAAATCAGCCCCTGCACATCATGCCCTGACCACCGGCCACACCATCTCCTGGAACAACATCGAAGTCCTCAAATCTCTCACCTCACGCTCCCAACTTGACCTCACAGAACACGCAGCTATACAAATACGACAACCAGCCATGAACAGAACAGACCGCGCACCCAAATGTAGTTCCCTCTGGGACCCCATTCTTCCTAAAATTGCCAAATCCTTAAAGTCCAGACCATCTGGCATTTCCTTCTCAACCCCAACAGAAGACAAAATTTTTATTGACATTGTACTGTAATTTTCATTTTCCCACCCACACCTCCCCCACCCTCCATCCCTGACACCACTCAATCACATATAAGCATTTTCCACCCCATCACATTCAGCTGACGACGATTAACACATGTTTATTGAAAGCTTCTACAAGTTAAATCATCGTATCTCTTATATGTTTTTAACCCAACTCCACTCAGCTATGAGAACTTTATTGTGCCGTAAGTTAACGACGGAAAGGTTCTCCTTGGTCTGCCGGAGGCACAGAAAACTCTACTAGTATATGATTTTTTCAAGGGTCACTTGGCGGAAAAAGTCAACGAAATTATGGCACTCAATACAATACAATACAATACAATACAATACAATACAATACAATACAATACAATACAATACAATACAATACAATACAATACAATACAATACAATACAATACAATACAATACAATACAATACAATACAATACAATACAATACAATACAATACAATACAATACAATACAATACAATACAATACAATACAATACAATACAATACAATACAATACAATACAATACAATACAATACAATACAATACAACATAGTTCATGAGCTAGTCCCCGGCCCCGCCAACATGAAAAACTTGTTCCGATCCAGCCTCTAGAGTCTAGATATTACGGTAAATCGTGTTGCCAAGGACATTGTCCGACGTTGTTATAGTTCATATTACTCAAGGGAAGTAATGAAATAGTGCAAGGAAAGCTTCAGGTGATGTTAAGGTTAACCTAAAGTTGTCTAAGATAGAACCACTTCACGCCGAATGGCTTGTAAAAGTTCACACTAAAATGCAGGACCGGGGTAGTTTGATAAAAAAGGTTTCCATAAAGCTAAAAATTACTGATGCTTTAAGCAATAAGCATGGACTATTTCATGCACGAAAACCCATTTGATGAAGATGATATGTGATATTAGACACTGATCATGTACACATATTTTAACATTTTTACTGCTTAACGACTGATTTTTTTAGTCTTACTCACTGTATAAAAAATGGATTTAAAAATAATTTGTTGAAATAAAAAAACGTCAAAAAAATTACGGATTTTTGATGGTTTTGAATGCCTATTAGCTTTCATATTATATATTAATATAATGTCCGTTCATAATTATGTCCGTTCATTTAATGTCCGTCCAAATAAGGTCCGATAAGATAGGACCTTATTTGTTATTAGTCACGTGCTATACCAATGCGCGTTTTAAACTTTGACATGACAGTATTATATCTTACTATATATAAAGCGAGACGATATATATATATATATATATATATCTGTGCCATTTTACTGACACCACGGCATCGACTTTAACGCAACTTTC